TTGTTTAGACAAAAGGGGGAGATGATGGGGAAACTATCAACTGATAGTTTCAACCAATCACATTTAGTTAGGGTGTGGCCACCCAGAGCCCAGGTAGAAAAACCTGGGGATGCAGATGCGCACTCTCTTTCCACGGTGCCTGCTGGACCTACCGGATTTCGGCACTCCCATTCTTACAGTGTAAATTTCCCCCTCTTTAACCATTCAAGTATTGCTGTTACTCTTGAGCTAGCCTGGTTACTTATCGTAATGACCTAATTCGCCAGCACACTGTTGAGACAGGCTTTGAGGATTCCTATATGTTCAAGCCATGTTCAGTGAGACAGTCTACTTGCTGTTGTCTTCTGATTAAAATGTAGTCAGCACCACATCCATCTGCATGACACCATGCTCTCCACCATGATCAAAATGTCTTGAACCTCTGTAAGCAATTCATCCCAATTAAATATTTTTCCTTTATGATAGTTGCCATTGTCGTGGTGTCTCATCACAGAAAAAGAAACACTAACTAAGATAGCAGGTAAATGAACAGAAACTACAGAAACAAGCATCACCAGCAGAATATAAGAGGTGGAAAAGAGACTCTCAGGCATAGAAGGTAGAAGGGAAGAATTGATACATAAGGCTAACAGAATCTTAAATCTAAAAGTTCCTGATTCAAAACATCAAGAAAATCTGGGACAATATGAAAAGACCAAACCCGAGAATAATAGAAATAGGAGAAGATTCTCAGCTCAAAGAACCAGAAAATATTTTCAAGAAAAATCATAGAAAATTTTCCTAACCTAAAGAAGAAGAATCTATAAAAGTACAAGGAGCTTGCAGAATACTAAAAGTATTGGACCAGAAAAGAAAGGAGACCTGCCATATAATAATCAAAACACTAAGCATAAAGAAGAAAAAATATTAAAAGCTGAGAGGGGAAAAGGCCAACTAACAAAAAAAAAGAGTCGTAAAAATTATACCCAACTTTTCAGTGGAGACTCTAAAATCCAGAAGAGCCTGCACAGATGCTCTTTAAGCTCTAAGAGGCCACAGATGCCAGCCCAGACTACTAAACCCAGCAAAACTCTCAATAACAGGAGAAATCAAGCTATTTCATGAAAAAGTCAAATTTAATATTAGCTGTCCACAAATCCACCCATACAGAAGGAAAACTGCACCCTACGGAAGGTTAAAGAAAACCCAGTAAACAAATAATTTCACACTACCAAAACAAAAAGAAGAGAAATACACACAGACCCTTATACACTACCACCGCCGCCACCACAACCAATAACAACAACTAACAGTAATTAGCAATCATAGGTAATCACCATCTCCTAATTCCCCAATAAAAAGACACATGTTAAAAGAATGGATATGAAAACAGAATTCACCCTTCTGCTGCATCAAAAATTAATTTAAATGAAAAGATTTGAAGAAGTTTTCCAAGAAAATCAACCCATGAGGCAAACTAGTATGGCCATTCTAATATTTAACAAATAGACTTACAACAAAAATTAATCAAAAGGGAGGGCAAGGACACCTCATACTCATGGAAGAAAAAATTCCCAAGATGATGTCACAGTTTTAAATTTTGATACCCCAAATTATGCTTACCATGCTATTCCCATTTCCAGTGTTTCTCCCTACTACATGTTCCTTTTAGAACTTTCTGGCTTCTGTGGTTACTCCAAGTTACATATTTCCATATGAAGATTTGGAGTTAGGGGCCTCTACAATTTCCATTGGACTTGGAGTTCAGTGGCAGAACATGTGGCATTTGTCCTTTTGGTTCTCTGTCAACTCATTTTAAATAACCTTTTCTAGTTACATCCATCTTTATGAAAAGTTTATGATGCCATTTTTCTTTACATTGAAGAATATTCAATATTTTTTATTTTCCACTCATCAGTTGAGGTTCATTTAAATTGTATTTCCTGGTTACTATAATAGAGCAGCAATGAATATAACTAAGCAACTTTCTGTGAAGTAGGATGTAGAGATCTTTGGACATAAACTGAGAAGTGGCATAACTGGATTGTGTGTAGATTTATCTTTAAATTTTTGAAGATTTTTCTTTCTGATTTCCAGAGGAACTCTATTTTCATTCCCCAACAGTGAATGCAGGTTCCTTTCCCTCACATACTCCCCCACCATCATTTGGGGTCAGTTGTTTTATTGATTTATATTATCTAAATGGGGCACGATGAAATCTCAAAGTTGTTTCAATTTCCATTTCCCTAATTGCTAAAGATGATGAAAAATTTCAAAATTTTTCTTGTACATTTATATTTCTTCTTTCGAGAACTCCATCTAGTGTCTTCTGATCATCTGCATTTCCTTCACCAGGAAGTGATAGGGTAAAAAGTGCTGGTACTTGTGAACATGGCCCGAAGTCACTTTTGTTGGTGATGTCTGTCCACTAGGGGGCACTGCAGTGTTCCTAGAAATTACAAATCTTAGTTTGAAGATTCCAGAAGGGACTTAAGGACATAACGCAATCCAATCACATAGCAAGAAGCAGAGGTGATGGTGTAGAGATCACACCTGTTTTAGTTCTCAGTCATTCTATAGGAGACCGCAGATATCTAGAGCCTGTTCACTGTATCCCATTTTGTCTACCACACGCCTTTAATCCCAGCACTTGGGAGGCAGAGGCAGGCGGATCTCTGGGAGTTCGAGACCAGCCTGGTCTACAAGAGCTAGTTCCAGGACAGGCTCCAAAACCACAGAGAAACCCTGTCTCGAAAAACCAAAAAAAAAAAAAAAAAAAAATTCTCTGAAGCTAAGTAACAAGGTGAACCCCAAGAAAAACGTATATAGACCCATGTGGAAAGTCGAAGTAGACAAGATCGTCTGAAAAAATTGGGAGCATGGGGGAGGGGGAGAATGGAAGGTATAAGGGGAAAAGGAGGGGAAAGGGGCAATGGAGGAGAACTTGAGGGAATGGGATAGTTGAGATGGAGTAAGGAGAGAGATGAAAGCAAGGAAAGAGATATCTTGATTGAGGGAGCCTAGTGGGGCTGTCAAGAAACTAGGCTCTAGAGAAATTCCCAGGAATTCACAAAGGTTATCCCAGCTAAGACCCTAAGTAATAGAAGAGAGGGTGCCCGAACTTGCTTTGCCCTGTAGTCAGAGTGATGAATATTCCAAATATCACCATAGAAACTTCATCAAGCAACTGATGGAAACAGAGGCAGAGACCCGCATCAGAGCACTGGACTGACCTTCAAACGTCCAGTTGAAGAGTGGGAGGAGTGAGAATATGAGCAAAAAAGTCAAGACCCTGATGGGTACACCCACTGAAACAGTCTACCTGAGCTAATGGGAGCTTACCAACTCCATCAGGACAGGGAAGAAACAAGCATAGGTCCAAACTAGTCCCTCTGAATGTGGTTGACAATTGCATGGCTGTAACAGAATAAAGAGCCTCTGACAGTGGCACCAGGATTTATCCCTACTGCATGTACTGGCTTTTGGAAACCTATTCTCTCTGAATAGATACCTTGTTCAGCCTAGATATAGTAGGGAGGGCCTTAGACTGTCCCCAAAGCAATGCGGGAGTGGATGATGTGGGGGGGGAGGTGAGGAGGGGGGAGATGGGAGAAAAGTGGAGCGAGTGGGAGGAGGGGAGGGAGTTGAAACTTGGATTGGTATGTATAATGAAAATAGTTTGTTTTTTTTTAATAAAAACAAATAAAAGAGAGAAAAAATCTTTGACACATGTAAGCAAAGTAGATTCTCACTGGGCATTATAAGGCTGAATTCTCCAGAGATAACATCTCCACTACTTTCTTGTTTATTTTTTTTTTGTTTTTAAGTTTAAAATTTCCTAAATTCAAAGAAATAGAAATTGTTCCAATCCCCTTTATATCATATCTGATATATATGCATAATTCACACACATGCACACACACTCATTATATATATATATACATACACACACACACACACACATATATATATATATATATATATATATATATATATATATATATATACATATATATGAAGAAAAATAAGTACCCAAGAAGAAAAACTTTTTATGAAAGAATAGGAGGGCAGGGCCTCACTGTTGGAGCTGGCATTCATAGCCTGATCTGAATCAGCAGTGTTCTCCTGTGCAGCACAGTGGAAGAGCTGGGCAGAAGCCAAGAGATGGAAAATGAATCAGGGTGGAAACAGGGGCGGAGCATGTCTTGTTTTTCTTATAGCCCACAACTGTGTTGGAACGTTTTCTATGTACATGATGATTTATTTGCATGACATTCCTTTTATTCTGTATAGTGCACTGCATGCTGATTTGTCAAATAGGGTAATTTAAGAGACCTGCCAGGACTTTCTTTTTGGGTCTGTTATCAACACAGCAGTAAATGGCCAATACCAAAGGAATTCAAAGACACTACTTAGTTTGAGCATTTTTTGGTCTTAACTGGTCTTTTGTCTGTGTTTGTATGTATTTTGTGCTTTTATGAGGTTTTATATGTGAGTTTCTTCTTTGTTATTTTTTTAAGTTCTGCTTTGTTTGGGTTTTATTTCTTTTCCTCTGTTTGATTTCTAAACAAAAAGAAAAAGAAAGAATGGAGTTGGGTGGGAGAGAAATTGTGGAGGTCCTTGGAGATGATGGAGGAGATGTGACAATGATCAGAATATACTGCATGAAAAAAATTTCAAGACAGAAAGTGAGGCTCATCTAACCACTGGAGCCATTAGTATTCATACCAGTGTTCTGCACTTACGAATTCAACTTTCTCATATTTCCTCCCCAAACTCTCCTCATAAGAAGAGTTACATTAGGAATACAGTGTCCTGGGCTCTCCATCTGTGTCCTCCACAGTTGTGGAGCAATTGTGTTACAGAGACATGTGGTGAAAGTGGGTGGGGTTTCTAGTTCCTATGAAAGAGAATCCTCCGTGATTAGAAGAGAATCTTGTGTGTAAGCACAAGTATTTCTGAGCACAAGACTTGCCATCCTCATAGCTGGAGAAGACAACATCAGCAACTGAACAGGGACCATGGAGAGGAAATTGGGAGCTTTGCTGGGGGTTTTTTGGGTGCACATTTGCTGTGAGTTATGTTCACCTAATTGCTTTAGGGATTCTGCAGAGATGTCAGTGGTAGAGGGGGATTGAGTCAATCCAAAGCCCCTGTGCAGTCATCCTCATGTTGTTTCCTGGGATGTTTGACAGGTGTAGGTGAAAACCCTTCATTGACTCTGGTTTGCTTTTCTGTTTCCAAGCAGGGGTGCAAGGAGTTGAGGTGCAGCAGAGTCCTTCAGTTCTGAAACTCTACGAGGGAACCAGTTCTGATCTGTCATGCAATTTTTCTACCACCATCATGAGTTTGCAGTGGTTACAGCAGAATCCCAGGGGCAGCTTCATCAATCTTTTTTACCAGGCTCCAGGAACAAAGACAAAGGGGAGGTTAAAGTCTACATTTGACTCCAAGGAGCGGTACAGCACCCTGCACATCAGGGATGCCCAGCTGGGGGACTCAGGCACCTACTTCTGTGCAGCAGAGGCACAGTGCTTCCATCAAGCCTGTAGCCTGGCCCCAAATTGCAGCTGTTCATGCAGCTACAGCCGTGACATGGACAGACTCTACAGGAGGCTTTTCACAGTGGAGGCTTTATCAGATCCCCACCATTTGCAAAGAAGGAGTGAGGAAACAGAAAATTACCACTGCAGAAGTCCACACTTAGACTCCGAACGTGGTGATACTGACTTGAAGGATAAAAGCTCAGAAACATCAGCCTCGTGACTAAAATCTACACTTTATCAAATGCTTGTGCTAGTATCACAAAATATAAACACTCCAGAATCATCTTGATCTTTTCCCAGAATTGGGAACTGAGAACGACTGTTTCCATACTGTGTTTAGAGAGCACAAAACAACACTTTAAGCTAATCTGCTCAATATGAAATTGAGAAAAATTAATTTTGAAGATCTAATAAATTAAGTTGTACAAAGGCAAGACAAACAAATATTATAATTACATTATGATATGATTTTAACAGTGTCTTCATATTTTAAAAATATTATCCCTTTAGCTATGCATAGAAAACAAATGTTTCACATAAAAATTATGACAGGCAAAAGATAAATGGTGAATTAGAGTGATATATTTGCAATTTGTATTGCAATAATACTTGCAGCAGTTGATTCTACAAAATATTTATACATCTGCAATGTAATATTCATGCAATACTTCTTATTAAGACACTGCTTTCAAAAGGAAAACTGGAAAACTACTAAGTGACCCTCAATAGGGGATGAATTCATTACACAATAATTAAATGTGATCCAAACACTGCTGATTGCCAAGGGTTGGCAGCTTATATTCCACAGATGAAAAACTCTTGCCTGTCACTTGTCTCTGTAAGGAACTGGAAAGCAGCCATGCTTATTCATTCCCCAACTGTCTGTCCATTGCTGTTCTCACATGGAAACAACAGGTGAGTGGTTACAACAGTTACTGGGCTGGATAAAACATTTTCTTTCTAGAGTTTCACAAATTAATTATGACCCACTTGTGATTCACTCTCTTCCATGCCCATTGCAACCACATTTGTTTCAAATATTGATTATATGAGCTTAAATAATTCCTAATTGTTAATAAGATTTATCTGAGCATGGTTAGAAGTGGTAGCACTAGAAGAGACAAGTTTCTAAAATAAAAATTACTATATCAATCATTTTAGAGATTTCACAAACAGCAACTATCATAATCCTAGCTTCTTGATAGTGGATGGTACAAAATTACTTGAGATTGGAATGTAGCAATCAGGGCCAGAAAGAGAGTGCTCTGAAAAGGCATTCTAACTGGTCTTGACAGATCTTTTTCCTAATCTCATTCCTGATTAATCTTGACGTGAAAGTGCTTGTTTAATAAAGAAATGAGCTTGAGGGCTATGAAAAGTAGTTTCATGAGCTTTCTGGATAAGACATACAAGAAACTTTTAAAAAGAATATAAACTTCATTTTCTGCTGCAAATTCTTAAAATCAAATTCAAAATTTAAGTTAAATCAAAATATAAAATGCAGAATTGTTGTAGCAATTGAGAAAAGCACCCGCAGTTATTCCTGACTTTATCCCATGCTGTTAGAAGGTCTGTGAGCTCTTGCACTTGAATTGCCAATGGCCATCCTCTCTTCTAAATCTGGTCAACAGTAGTATCTGTTGATTGCACAACAGATTTCACCCTGTTGTAGTCAATCATCATCTCCGTTTCCTGCACTGAACTTTCAAGATTTTTTTTACTTATCTGTTGCTTCTGAACTTCAATTTTCTCATTAGCTTCTGGTAAGGTCTGAATCCCATCCAGATAAGTTCACAGTTCTTTTAAGGCAACCATGTTCAGTTGTTGCTGTCTTCTCTTCCTGATTAAAATGATCCCTTTTGTGAATCTATTAAAGTGTTCATTCTCTTTTGAATTTGCTGTTTCCATTTTCTGCCTCTCCAGTCAAAGAGCCAATTGATCATTAGCTTTCTTTATCCAACACTTTTCCACATTCTTTAATTGTCTATCATTTTATTCTGACTGGTTTTCAAGATGGTGAAATTTTTCATGTATAAACCAAGTATCCCATCATCATGATGAACCATCTCCAGTTCATTTTCCAGTTCCATTACCTTGGTGTTTAGCTGATTTTCAAATTTTACTTGTCCTTCTTCAGCTTGTTCAACTTCTTCAAAGTCAGGTCTACCTCTTGTGCTGTCACCATCAGTGACTAAGTAGTTCTGAATAGATGTGCCACATTTTATCTTTTAGTTCATTTACTTCTGCCTTCACAGAGGCTGCCAATTCTTCTTGCAGTGGCAGGTCATCTAGATCGACTTTCACTATTTCTTTCCAGTTTATATTAGGTGGCATTTTGAATTCTTCCCCTGAGAGGGAAGTAATATTACTTGAGCAGGCAACAAGTGTAATCAGACAGCTTCCAAAGTGAGCAAAATATGACAGAGACAATCATCCAAAATCTGTTGATTATTACTTGTACTAGATAGAGGGTTGGGGTGACAACTATGTTTTTTCAAAAAAATGATAATAATGGTGGGTAATAGAGTGAATACTTGTGAGCTATTATTTATGGATAATTTTTATTGTTATAGTTTTTGTATCTTGACACAAGTTCAAATAATATTTGTTACTTTGTTTACATTATTTGTACACCTATGCAAAGTTATTCTATCATGTTGTGTATATGCCTGCTTCTACCTCTGTTTAGGACATTTAGTATATTGATAAAACTTTTAGGATATATTTTCATATTGCATTATATATTACCTCTACCTCTGATCAAGATACTTATAGATTGTTTACATTTTGAGGTCATTGTCATCATTTGTTGCGCAGTTGTTTACAGATTATTTAATATTCTGACATGAAGTTTTAGTCTTTAAGTTATACATCTATTAAAAATTATATGTCAGTATAATAGTTGTTCATGTTTGTTGTACATACAGTCAGATCAATTAGATTCTTTAAATACATAGAGATTACATTATGTCTATATATGTAATATTCAACTACTTCAAGGATCTGTAAAACATGATGTTTAATAACTTAGGGTTCTGTGACATGAGACATGATTGCTCTCAACAGCACCATTCTATTCCTGAGACAATGTTGAACACCAAAGACACTTCATTCAGAGCTTATTTTTCTTGGCACCATTGGCCTTTGGGCAAGAAACTGTTCTTGCCTGGAATACTTAACTGGACATACAAAAAAAAATGATTGCTGAACTTGCGTAAAGGTGAGATGATCCTTCGGGATTCCTGCTTCATAAAAGAGCTTACAAGACATTCTGCAAGATACCAAAAAAAGTGACTGACAAACTGCCAATATAGGCAGACCTGTCTTTGAAATTTCTGCTTCTTGAAAAATTCTGTTGAATACTATGAGCTTGTAGGCTGAAGATGGATGCCTCAATGGTACAAAAAACTTTGGATAACTATCCAGGCAGTGATATGCCTCTGTCAATTCTAGAGATTTGAAAGTTGCTTACAATCTGTTTCCTGTTTACTTAGACAATATCTTATCCTTCTGAAGTCTTTGATGAGGTTAAAGAATTTATAGTTATAGTTTTCCTTAGTTATAAAAGATAAAGTAGATATAAATATTGTAACTATAATTCTTGCTTGATAACTGTTTTGTTATATGTAATTTTTCTATGTTAAAGTTAAAGCTTTCCTTTTTATTTAAACAGAAAATGGAAGGTGATGTGGGAGTCCCCTCTGTGTGCTGTGATTACCATTAATGAATAAAGAAACTGCTTTGGACCTATAGCAAGGCAGAACTAAGATAGGCAGGAAAAAAATGGACTAAATGCTGGGAGGAAGAAGACAGAGTCAGAGAGACACCACGGAGCTGCCAGAGTCAGGCATGACAAATCTTTGCTGGTAGGCCACAACCTCATGGTGATACACAGATTAATGAAGATGGGTTAAATTAACATGTAAGAGTTAGCCAATAAAAAGTTACAGCTAATGGTCCTAGTATTATTTTAATTAGTAGAGTTTATGTGTTATTATTTAAGGGCTAAGCTAACCAGACAGCCAGGAACAAACAAGTGACCCTTCTTACTACACAGCTGGGTGTTCAGCCAAGATGAGCAGGTGAGAGAACAGACAGGATTCTGAGAAAACTGTGAGCAGCCAGTTGGATCCTATCCCGAAAACATAGGCAAATAAGAACATTGCTTTTCACTTGTTCTTACTTCTAATGTGACTAATTAGAACAGACTAAAAACTTCTATATATCTTTTACCTATCCAGAAAGTGGACTACTGCAGACCATGGAAAAGTCAAGAGCCTTTACAGGGGAGACCAAGAGAAATCCAGTCACATGTTATTAGCTATATTTATATATAAAAAACCCCTACATGTAAGTCACATGAACCAAAGACAAAGCATATATTATTAATTTGTGGCTACTGGATACCTCCTTCCCAAGACTGGAGACTAGCCTCACTTGTAAGATTGACAACCTGCAATAGAGGCCCAGGCTAGTAGTCAATAAACAGCCAAGGGGAACACCTGACAAAGTAAATAGACACAGAGAAAGAGAGCTTCAAAATGTGACTGTTCCCTAATTAGGTGAACAGCATGCGAACAGAGCATTGTCATCATCTCCCCAGTTGGGTCAGAAGAGGAGGAACCCAGTGTGGAAGTCCCTAACTGTCTCAGCCCACATTAAACACAGAGGAAAAACCAGTCTCAGTAAGAAATGACCTCAGCCTTTGTCCAGTGCCTGAAGTGTGTCATAAAAATATCCAGATGGGCTGTTCTACGGATTTTCCTCTCAACACCCCTCCCACTTTTGGGAGTTTCTCTTATTTTTCCTTAATTTCTCTCTTGTCCTTAAATTTCCTTAATAAAGTCTGCCTTTACTTGTTTGCTCATGTGTCCTCATCTTTTATTATGAACAGCTGAGACAATGAGCAGAGACCTACTTTCTCAGGGCATGTGTTATGTAACTTCATTTCTATGAACTGCTCAGAAATTCTTCAGAGATAAAAAGTAGATGAGGGGTTGCCTAGAGGGCATTGTATGGGCAGAAATCATCTGTGACTGCTCATGAGAAAGGACTCCTTTAGAGCAGTGGCTCTCAACCTGTGGGACACGACTCCTTTGTGGGGGGAGGGTCAAATGACCATTCACAGAGGTCTCCTAAGACCACCAGAGAATACATATATTCACATTACAATTTATAACATTAGCAAAATTACAGTTATGAAGTATCAATGAAAATTTTATGCTTGGGGGTCACCACAATATGAGGAACCATATTAAAGGGTCACAACATTAGAAAGGTTGAGAACCACTTCTCTGGAGGGATGATAAAAATATTCTATGAGTAATTGTGAAGATGGTTGCATACTTCTGTAAATACGATAAAGCTCTGGAATAACATCTTATCTGGAAAAATATGTAGGACATGATTCCTATCTCAACAGAACTATCACATAAAACGGACAATAACAAATGATGCTGAAATATTTATTGTATTTTTAAATCAGTCTTGATTATCCACACCATTTGAGCACAACAGTAACGGACTCTAGATGAAAGGGTCTAACGTTGGTCTGATCTCTGTTCTCAATCACAGCCTTTTCTTTTCATATGGACTGGCACTTGATGACTGTCATCACCTGACTAGCCGGCACACATGGAAGCACAGTGAAAATATATTAAGTATGAATACATAGTTTTCATGTCACACATTGTTACATTGTCACAACCAGGCTTTCCCTGTTCTAAATTTGTGATTTTGGATGATGAAGAATGAGAGTCAGTGTGGCGTTTGAATTTTACGTATACCTTTAGTGTTGAAGTGATTTATTCAAACTACCCTCTAGGAAAGTAGAAACATTAAATTGAAGACATTTTGAATCATCACACATAACTTCTCTTGGTCCTGTGAAGAATAAGCATTAACTACTGCATCCACCTGTTAGATTTTCGCTCAGTTCTTCGACTGTCAAATCCTATGCCTTGTGACAAAGTGCATGGATTTTAATCTGCCTGAAAACATCAGAGAAGCAATTCCAGTTTCCCAATACCTGCAAATAATTCAGTCTTTCTTTGAAGAAAGTGACAAGAGACTCTCCATTGAACCTCTTCAGTAGAAGGAGGAACCATATCAAAAACTCCATCTTGGGTTCTAGTTCTCAGGAAAGGAGTTCCCGTGAACAGTCACCAGAGGGGGCTACAAACCTAAGCTCCTTCCAGGCTGAGCCAAGGCTGTCAGTGGGTGTACAGAGGATTTCATCCCTTCTGTCACTTTATCATTTTATAAGCACTTTGTGAATGCATTGATAGATTCAAACACACGAGGAAGCTCATTGTAAATGGCAAAGCAGACGGGTGAGCCCAGCCCTTACCCTGGGAAAGTGAGGGAGGAGCTAGGCATGGTAGTCAGCCTCAGCCACTTGGAAACTAAGGTTTTATTACCTTGAGATCATGAATTTTTATTCGATCATCTTTCTTTTCTGTTTGATTTTTGGCAGTTTCATACATATATACAATATGTTGTGATTATATCCACCACCTCCTCCATTACTCTCTGTTAGACACTTTCCTTTCCCTTTGGATTTTTCTTTCCAATTAGTCCCCCACTGGCTGCACTACTGAAGAAAATGACACCCCCAAGCAACCACTGACAGTAATAACTTCTAGAAAAGTGGATGTGGGCGTAGGGAGCATGTTTTGAGAAAGCCTGAGCAAAAGAGTAAGACTTAGTCTCAAAAGAAAGAAAGAAAAAAAGAAAAGAAAAGAAGGAATGAAGATAAAATGAGATAAAGGAAAGAAATCTATATGGATTGGAGATGTAATTCAGAGTTAGAGCATTTGCTGAACATTTAGCAAAGCCAGGGGGTCAATCTCCAGTTTGACAAGTAATCACTAAGACAGGAAATTAACATAGAGGTCAATTTTAAATAACCAAATATTTATTGTTACAGAATATCGGCAAGTTCAGTTTTATAGCAGAGAGGAAGGAATGATTTAAGTTTTATTCCTACCCATATTTCCAGTAATCACTTTTGATAAACTAGTGGAAGTATTTCTAACTCCTTTGTCAAATGACATGATTTCATTCACTTCTCCAAGTCTTGTTCTCCTGCCCCTCATTTCTTTTCTTTCCTATTTACTATCTTCAAGGCATAACACTGCCAGGTGAGGTTAGAGGTGAGATTTGTGTTAGAGTGGGGTTCAAAGAAGATTGTCATGGACAAGCAAGTCATTGGTGTCTAGACAGTAATCCCAGTTAGAAGAAGTAGGAGACAGAATCTTTTGCAGGACCCCACTTAGGAGGCTGGAACGCCAGAGAACTTTAATTTTATCATGTTTTTTTCTGCCATACTGATCATGCATTGTAGGCACTTAAGAAACTATTTTCATTAAGTATGTTACAAATAGTTTCTTCAAGAGTGTTGCTTCATTTTTAACTTGGTTTATCATAATTTTGATGGGAAAAAGAAGTTGCCATTTCTAAAAGTTAATTTATTTCTGCTTCTAAGAATTTTATATTATCAATATAAATAGGAAGTCCTTCTTATTCTTATAGCACAAAGCTCAATAAGAATTCCTGAAATAAAGAACAATTCCTACCAGTGCAATAGCACACTAAACTACCAATTGACACTGATTTTTGCCTGTCTTATAAACAAGGGGAGTAGAGTTTCCTTTGAAAGGTTTCATACATTCAGACAAAGCCTTGTTGAGTTTAAGCCTTGAAATGATCTCAACAAAAAATTCCAATTGGGGATTTTGCAAGAAAATCATTTTCATCTTTTAAATGTTATATTTAAACTTTGGAGGTAGAGGTAGACCCAACCAAAAGACACATGACTAGAGCCAATTACAAAGAAGGCTTCTTGAGGAGGGGCAATGCTGGAAAGTGCTGGTTTGTGGCTTGAGGCCTCACATCCTCCCATCAGACACAGATTCTGAGCTCAGAACCCTAGAACCTGTTCTTAACTATGCGGTTTGTGAGTGGAATTGCCATTCTCCTGACTTTGGGTAAGTGTTCTGGACCTACGGAAGGATGATTTTTGTGCCTAAAGACAAAGAAATGTGTCTGCTGCCTCTACTTCTCCCTCTGTGATTTTCCAAGGTGCTGGAGAGAATTGGTGTCTGTGAGATTGTTTAGTCTGAGAATTGTCAGCGTGAGCAGCTGCGTATCCCACTTGCAGACTTATATACAAGAAGCCCCAGGCTCATTAAGCTGGGGGAAAGTGGGACGTGGGCATCTTTTCTTTGGCTGTGTGATTCTGCACAGCTAAGGAGTAAATTTTAGCAATTTCCTCTGAACCTGAGCAACATATAGCACTCAGCAGCAGAACTCGGGAGAAGAGTTCTGAGGCATCCGAGAGCCTGACACTTAGACACTTCGGTAATGAATGGTACAAAGTTGATCTGTTGCTTCTTAACCCCTTAGGTATTGCGGGTGATGCTAAAACTACACAGCCAGACTCAATGGAAAGTATTGAAGAAGAAACTGTACACTTGCCTTGTAGCCACTCCGCCATCAGTGGGAACGAGTATATTTACTGGTACCGACAGGTTCCTCTTCGTGGTCCAGAATATGTGATTCACGGTCTACAACAAAACACAAGCAATAGAATGGCCTTTCTGGTTATTCCCTCTGACAGAAAGTCAAATACCTTGATCCTGCCTCGGGTCAGCCTGAGTGATGCTGCTGTGTATCACTGTATCCTGAGAAAAGCACATTGTGACAGACAGGGCTGCACCTGCGCAATATCTGCCTGGTGGGGGAGGGGAGCAGCGGCATCCTCTAAAGAGGCCTCTGTGATGGAATGAGCAGAAGCCCTACAGGGGAAAGAGAAGACTGAGGAGCCCAGCAGGGATGGGAAAGGAATGCTGAGCCTGGGCAAGAAGAGCTGACAGCAGATAGACAGACAAGCCCGCAGGGCAGCTGATAGTACAACTTCCAGTTCCACAGAAAGAAGAGAATGAGAACTTCTGACTTTTTCATTTGAAAAAAAAAAATATTTCTGTGTAAATCGGAGTAAAAACTGATGAGAAAATCTGCTGTGGGACAATGGTTTGTACCCTTTCATTTGTATTTTAAATAAATGCTGATTGGCCTGTAGTCAGGCAGGAAGTAGAGGTAGGGCAACGAGAATTCAGGGAAGAGGGAAGTTTCAGTCTGTAGTCATCATCCAGACACAGAGGAAGCAACAAGTGACTGCCTTGCTGAAGAAAGTAACAAGCCACATCGCTAACACAGGCAAAAATTATGGGCTAATATACACTATAAGAGTTAATAAGAATCCTGACCTAATAGGCCAGTCAGTTTATAATTAATGTAGGCCTCTGTGTGTTTATTTGGGACTAAACAGATGTGGGACCTGGTGGGAAAGAAACCTCGGTCAACAAAAATCCTTTTGGAGCCAGGGAAGAGTCCAAGCTCTGGGACACACGATAATCACTCCTCCCATCCTCCCCTTCTCACTTTTCTCTCCCCATCTCCCCTTACCCCCATCCCACCCTACCCCCAAGATCCCAATTTTCTCCCCAGCAATTTTATCTACTTCCCATAGCCAAGAGGATAACTATATGTTTTTCCTTGGGTTCACCTTCTTATTTAGCTTCTTTAGGTTCACCAATTATAGACTCCATGACCTTTATTTATGGCTAGAAACCAATTATGAGTGCGTACATTCCATGTTCATCTTTTTGGGTCTGGGTTACCTCACTCAGGATAGTGTTTTCTATTTCCATCCATTTGTATGCAAATTTCGAGAAGTCATTGTTTTTTACCACCGCGTAGTACTCTAATGTGTATATATTCCACACTTTCTTCATCCATTCTTCCATTGAAGGACATCTAGGTTGTTTTCAGGTTCTGATTATTACAAATAATACTGCTATGAACATAGTTGAACAAATGCTTTTGTCATATGATAGGGCATCTCTTGGGTATATTCCCAAGAGTGGTATTGCTGAGTCCAGGGGTACATTGATCCCGAATTTCCTGAGAAACCAAAACACTGCCAAGGACAATGACACTGGGTTTTGATCCTACTTCATGTTCTGGCTTTGTGGGAGCCTAACCAGTTTGGATGTTCACCTTCCTAGACATGGACGGAGTGGGGAGGACCTTGGACTTTCCACAGGGCAGGGAACACTGACTGCTCTTTGGACTGGAGAGGGAGGGGAAGAGGACTGGGGGGAAGGAGGAGGGTGGGAGGAGGGAGAGGGAAATGGGAGGATGGGAGGAGGCGGAAACTTTTTTTTTCCTTTTCTCAATAAAAAAATAAATTAAAAAAAAAGACTCCCTGAAAGGTGACCATGAACACCCCCCAAAATTACTTCACTCAAACAAAAGTCAAGAAACAATTTGGAGAGAACTATGCCCAAATTCCCAAATATGGTTTATAAATGTTTGTTTACCTTTAAAGAGGGTAATCTTTACTTTGGTATGGATCTTCTCCTTTTGATGCAAATTTAAGATCAATTTGATTAAGGTATTGTGTTTGTGTAACTCTTTTAAAATGTAATGTAAAATTAAGAAATATAGGTTAATAGAGAGTCATCTATAATAGTCATGCTTGTAGTCATATTAGTTATGTTTTGTAGATGTACAGAGATATATTTCAGATAAATAGATATTATTCAGATCTTCCAAAGACTACAGAATATGGCTTTTAAAATGTTTTAAGAACTTAGGACTTTTCATGACATGAGACACATCTGCTCCTGACAACACCAATTTACTTAGAGAGAATGATGAGCATTGAAGACGCACCTTATGGAGTTTGTTAACCATTTAGGTAAAAAAAAAAAAAAAAAAAAAAAAAAAAAAAAAAAAAAAAAGCAGCAAGCAGCTGCTCTTGCCTGGACTGCTTGACTGGATTTGCAGGACCCACAGAAAAATGACTGCTACTGTTGCCTAAAGGTGAGACAGTCCTTCAGGGTTCCTGCTTCATGAAAGAGTCTGCCAGACAATCTGCAGGACATGGAGGAAAGTAACTGACAAATTGCCAATATAGGCGGAACTGTCTTTAAAATTTTCTGCTTTATGAAAAACTCAACCAGATACTATGGGTCAGTAGGTTGATGATGGGTGCCTGCGATGCTACAGAAGAACTTTGGGTGACTGTTCAGGCAGGGAGATGTCTCTGTCAATTTTAGAGCTTTGGAAGTTGCTAATAATGCACTTCCTGTTTACTTTGGTAATATAATATTCTTCTGGAGTCTCTGATAAAGTTGATGAATATATTGTTATCATTTTCCTTAGCTATAATAAAAGATAAAATAGATATGAATGTTGTGACTGCATTTCTTGCTCGATACCTGTTCTGTTATATGTAATTTTACAATGTTAAAGTTAAAACCTTTCTTTTATTTAAACAGGAAGGTGGAAATGATGAAGGTGGTCCTTCTGTATATGCTTTGCTTTTATTGGTTAATGAATAAAGAAGCTTCCTTGGCTTGCGATAGGGCAGAGTAGAGCTAGGTGGAGAGAACTAAACTTAATGCTGGGAAAAAGTAGGTGGAGTTAGGAGACCAGAGGGGAAAGATGTGAGTTGCCAACTGGAAACTTGCTGGAAGGCCACAAGCTTTGTGGTAAAATATAAAATAATGGAAATGGGTTAATTCTAGATGGAAGAGCTATGTAGAAATACACTTAAGTGATTGTCCAATCAGGGTTTTATTTAATACAGCTTCTGTTTGCTTATTTAGAGTTTAGGCAGTCAGGAACAAACAAGCGGCCTCTGCCAACAAGAGTGGTCTGATTTATATTGAGGTCTTTGATCTGTTTTGACTTGAGGTTTATTCATGGGCATAGGAATTAATCTATTTGCATTCTTCCACATGATCACATTCAGTTATACCAGCACCATTTGTTGAAGATGCTTTCTTTTTTCCATGGTTTAATTTTAACTTCTTTGTCAAAAATCCAGTGTTCATAGGGCTACTGATTTTTTTGAGTTGATCTTGTATCCTGCCATATTACTGAAGTTGTTTATCAGCTGTAGGAATTCCCTGGTAGAATACTTGAGGTCACTTATATATGCTATCATATCATCTGTGAATATTGAATATTTGACTTCTTCCTTTCAAATTTATAACTCTCTGATCTCCTTGGTATCTTATCACTCTAGTTAGAACATCAAGAACTATGCTGAAGAGATATGGTGAGAGTAGAAGCCTTGTCTGTTACTAATTTTAGTGGAATCATTTCTATCAATAAGAATTCAAGAACACATCAAAAAAATCATCCACTGTGATCAAGTTGGCTTCATTTCAGAGATGCAGGTATGGTTCAACATAAGAATCTATCATGATGATCCACTATATAAATAAACTGAAAGAAAAAAATCATATGATTACCTCATTAGATGCTGAAAAAGCATTAGGTAAAATCCAGCACCCCTTCATTAGAAAGTTATGGGAGAGATCAGGGATACAAGCAACATATCTTAACATAATAACAGCAATATACAGCAAGCCAACAGTCAACATCAAATTAAATGGAGAGAAATTATTTGTGTCTTCTTGATGTCCTTCAGCTGTCTTACTTTTCCAGCTAGGACTTTAAGCACTAAGAGGAAATGGTATGAAGAACGTAGATGACCTTACCTGGCTATCAATTTTAGGGAAATGTCTTGAACTTCTCCCTATTTGGGTTGATGTTGCCTGTGGGCTTGCTGTATGTTGGTACTTTATTGTGTTGGGGTGTGTTCCTTGAACCTCTAGTCTCTCCAGGACTTTTAGGGTGAAGGAAATTTGGATTTGCCAAAGGCCTTTACTGTATCAAATTAGGTCATCATGTCTTTATTGCCTTTCAGTCAGTTTATATGTTCGATTACATTATTGATTTATATCCATAGAACTATCCTTGTATTTGTGAAATGAAACCTACTTCATCACAGTGGATGATTCTTTTTTAATGTGTCTTATATTCAGTTTGCATGTATTTTCAAGAATTCTTTCATCTATATTCAGAACAGATATCAGCCTGTAATTTTCTGTCTTTCTTAGATCTTTGTGGGTTTAGATATCAGGGTAATTAGGTTCACATAAATTGGATTAGACAGTGATCTCCTGCTTCTGTTTTTGGAATAATTTGGAGTTAGGGTTAGTAATGAGTTGTTCACCTTTCATGAATTTGTACACTTTGTAGAATTTCTGTTGTTTTTGGATATACATTGATCCTGTGTTTTAATCTTATCTTTTAGCCTCTTTTATAAAAATCAAGGAAATAAACCCATTAACATTGAGAGTAATCATGAGCAGTGATGATTGACCCCTGATACTTGTTGCTATGGTGTATATTTCCCTCCTCCTTCGATTTGCTCCTCTGGGATTTTTTATTCTTTGTGCTTTTCTTGGTTGTGGTTAATCTCTTCAGAGTTCCTTCTGTCATCTTATATAGAGTAGGATAGCTAAGTGGATACTGCTTAAATTTGACTTTATCTTGGACTGTTTTTGTTTCTTTACCAACTGTGATGGATAGTTTTACTAGTTTTAGTAGCATGGGCTGCTGTTTTTCTCTCCAATTTTGTGTCACATCTACCCCAGCTCTTCTGACCTTTATAGTTTTCATTGAGGTGTTAGTTATTATACTCTGTTTGCCTTTATATGTTACTTTGTGTTTTTATCTTTTATTTTTAAATATTAATTCTGTGTCCTATAAAGTCATTTTTTGATTATTATGAATCACCAGAAATTTTTTTTTTCTGGTCCAGTTTATTTGGTGCTCTGTATGTTTCTTGTTACTTGATAGGAACCTTTATTTTTTAGGTTAGAGAAATTTTCTTCTTTGATTTTGATGAAAATATTTTATGTGT